TATATATATATATATATATATATATATATATATATATATATATATATATATATTTATGGTTTTAAAGATTTCAATATAATAATTTGGTCCCAAAGTTTTAGAAGTTTTAATTTAATTTAATTTATATGATTTAACTAAATCTCAAAGTCGGGATTTAAATGATAATTTTATTCATTTGAATATTTATTTATTTTGTATGGTCCTAAATTCCAATATACTTAATTAACAAATAGAGAAGTTTATACATTTTTTTTCATACGTGGAACCATCAGAATTAAATTAAAATTTTTAAAATTATAAAAACCAAATTTTTATCCATCAAAATATTGAAAAATTACTAAATCTCAACCTCTATATACATATAGATATATATTATGTATATATATATACATACATACTAATCTCAACCTCTATACATACATACATATATTTATATACATACATATATATATATGTATATGTATGTACGTATGTATGTAAATATATGTATGTATGTATGTATATGTATATATGTACGTATATATATATATATTGCAATCCATTTAGTCGTCCAACAACAGTTGTCCCGTCATTATAGACTTAGGATTAAATCTGACAAAAATGATGAATTAAAGCATCAAACCATTGATTAAGACATTATAACAAATAAAATGTAAAAAACTTGACTTTCTACAGTTTAATTTTAAAAAATAAAAGAAAAAAAAAACTTGGTCAATTAGAAAACATAGATTTTCATTGACTAGGCACTAAATTCTGTGATTTTGACCATCAGCCACAACGAAGAGGGCATAAACAAAACACATGGGAGAAACTTTCAAGATGCCAGATCCAAAACCAAAACGAAATCGCCTTTCGGTTTGAAAAATCTGCGAAAGTCAACCAACGCAGCGTTGATTCACAGACACAACACGAAGATTCAACACTATGGGGGGCGTATCTGTGGCAACGAGGAGAAAGTACCTGGAAATATCCATGAGTGTGCATCAATTGCAGCCCCAAGCGCAGCGCCATCGCAAGAACACGACCAAGTAAATCAAAATTCCTTCCTCAACACGAAACCTACGCTTTCCACGACTCTACTTCCCACCAACAACCCCCACCCATTCGATTTGTCTATAAAATAAAGCCTGTGTCTGTCGCGCATTTCATCGAACACCTTCGCTTCGTTTCACCCATACCTTCTCTCAACTTTGTTTTCTGTCAGACATTTCATCGAACACCTTCCCTTCATTTCGCTGTTCAGTTCTCTAAACTCCATTTTCTCTCAGACATATCATCAAACACCTTCCCATAACTTCTCTGAACCGCAATTTCTCTCAGACATATCATCGAACACCTTGCCTTCATTCTACACGCCACTGCAAGCCACAGCCTTCGGACATGAATTTCGGGAAATTGAGTGCGGCTTTGATGATTCTCGTCGTCGTCGTGGCGTTTTTGAGCAATAGCGCCGCCGTGGACGCCGCCAGAGTGGTGTCCGGAGACTTCTCGAGCGTCAGTAACTTGGAGATGTACCCGACGGCGTACGAGCAGGCGAAGAATACGGTGTCGTGTTGGCTCGGCCGCTTGTCGTCCGGCCCCAGCCCCAAAGGTCCCGGCCACTGATTTTCTCACCGCACCATGCCTTCGCCGATGAAGCTCTCTCCCTCTGTTATTTTAAGATTCATCTTCTTCTTTAATTCTTTACTGTATATTTTTATTATTTTTATTTCTGAATTGATTTGAGCCATAATTCAATGGCCAAATCAAAGACCGTCTTGAACCCAAATGGTCAAGAATTAGTGTTGCCATAGATTTTATTATTTTCTTTTTCCATCTATTTATTTGTAATTTTATTAATTAATGTAAACTAAACTTTGCTTTATAAAATTTAAATTTTAAATTATCGCGATTGATTTGACTGAGTTATAAAATTATTCTCAAAAAATAATTTTTTTTCAAACTTATTATTGATGTTTTTTTAGTGCATATAACTAAAAGTAACAAACCTTTGGACTTATTTCTATAATTTTTCTATAAATTTTCATTAATATCTTTATTTTATGGATATCTATGTGATTTCCGTAGAAACCTTCCAGGTTTTGAAGCCTTCATGGAAGTCCAAAGAGGACAATAATTGGTATCAGTGTATCTGGAGCGTTACAAATGGTTTTATAGCCAGACATCGGACTATGTACCAGTGAGGAGGCTGTTCTCTGAAGGGGTAGACACGAGACGGTGTGCCAATAAGAACACTGGCCCCAAAGGGGTGGATTTGGCGGGGGTCCCACGACGATTGGAGAAAAGAAAAAGTGCCAGCAAGGACGCTGGCTTCGAAGGGGGGTGGATTGTGATGTTCACATTGTTTGGGGAGGTGGAAACCTTCCCTAGCAGATGCGTTTTAAAGCCTCGAGTGGAAGCCTAAAAGGGAAAGCTCAAAGAGGACAATATCGGGTAGCGGTGGATCTGGGCCGTTACAATTTCTATTGACATTTTTAATAAAATTAGGACCTTGGTATTTTGGATGATTAGAAATCTCTATTTAACATCATGCTCCGAATGAGATAAGAATTTTCGTTTAAATGGAGAATAGAGTACTACGAAGAGATTTTTATGTTAGCTAAACGGGATCAGGGATAGAGAATTGATAATTATATTTTTCCGTCTCCGAGCCCATCTCCGACCGG